TCCTCGACAACTTGTCTCGCGTAAATGAAGGAATCCTTCACAAAGAGTCCAACTTCCGGAAAGGTATCCCCGGCTATCGAAAATAGCACTCACCCTCCAACTGTTAGTTCGCCTACTCCGGACTCTTCGAAAATTAATGGAAATAGCAACGCTGCTGCTTCTTCAGCAAATGTCAAAGTCACAATACGAGTCCGACCTCCCAATGCCGTTGAACTTAGCAGAGGGGAAAATGAGATCTGGGAAGTTAATAATGATGCCCAAAACCAGTGACAGAATATTATTTTGGTAGGCTCCATAATGGAATTCGAGATGATTTTGGTATATTTTTGCAGAAATACAAATCATTTTTATTCGATGATTAGACAAAGTGTTCTCTGGAAGTGACAATAAAGCTTTGTTCGAGAAAGGAGTGCGAGACACAGTTGGGTGAGTTCGAGTGTAATTTAAAACTGATGAAGAAAACCTATCTCCATTGAAGTGGTGGTTAATTGAAACTCGCATTTTTTTAGTGCTGTCATGGAAGGATACAATGGTATGTGTTGATATTGAAGAAAAACGAGTAAATTTAAACATTCATCTGAATATATCAACCTGTTACATTATCACAGGAACTGTGTTTGCCTATGGCCAGACTTCTTCGGGGAAGACCTTTGTAAATTTCAAAAAATCTATTTATGCATCAAATCTTTAATCCTTCAAAATATATTTAACTAAATTTCTTTTCGATTATCACAGACTATGGTAAGATGTAATTATAACCATCCTACTTATACTAAGAAATTAATACCAATATTCAAATCGGATATTCACGATAATCTTTATAGTCGGGTTAGTGTTTTATTTTATTTTATTTGATTTATTTATTTATTTGATTTCTCTTCATGAATCTTTGATTAATGGGTTGAATAACACAGGTACAAAGTCGAATCCTGGTGTCATTCCGCAGGCCGTTGATACCGTATTCGAATACATCAAAAAGGTAAAATATGTTGATGATTTATTCGAAATGAACGGCACCAAGACATTGTTATTAATCATTTTTACAAATAGTGTCAAGAAAAACAATTTCTCCTTCGAGTTTCTTACATGGAAATTTATAACGAAACTGTACGAGATCTATTGAGTCCAGATACTGTGGATTTGAGAATTCACGAAGACAAACACGTACGAGATTAACATCTTACCGATAAGTTTCATCAAAGTCAGTCTGATTGATGGTGACAAATTTATAAATTTATCTGTTCAACACACCCGTTAGCGAGGTGTATACGTCAGTCCGCTCAAAGAAGTTCTTGTATCAACACCAGATCAAGTTATGGAAGAAATCTCCAAAGGCGAAGGTTATTTATTTATCTTTGTTTTTTTTCCACATTGTTTATCAAAATTACCACCTCGTAATTAAATGACTTGTCAAATAGCAAATCGCCACACGGGTGCAACCGATTGGAACGAAAGGAGTAGTCGATCGCATAGCATATTTCAAATGGTACGTGTATCTTATTTATTTCCTTCGCTTTGGAAATGGCCCATTAGTTAACCATTATTCAACACTATAGACTGTTGAGAGCGCTGCTAAGGGGTCACTACCATTCAGGCAAAATCGATATTCCATGCCAGGTATGCCGAAGATGTCCGGATCAGTGTATTCTTCTGTGCTGGTAGGGCTTCAGCTTATCTCAATCTGTCTTTATTTTTATATGTCGTTAAACCTCAATCTCAATTAATTTGTATAGAACTTAATCGATTTAGCCGGTTCGGAGAAAGCCACAACCTCAATCGATCGTCGTAAAGAAGGGTCTTACATCAACAAGAGGTCAGCATACGCGAACATGAGCTACGACTATTTTGTTTTATTGACCATTAATGCGTTTTTTACATTTTAGTTTGCTTACTCTTGCCACTGTTATTTCAAAGTTGACAGAAAAAAATTCGTATGTATTGTTTTATTTTTTTAAAAAAAAAAGATATACATCATTAATAAATACTATTTACGTAGTGGTCATATTCCATTCCGTGATTCAAAATTGACACGAATACTTCAGAATTCTCTGAGTGGAAACGCTAGAGTTGCTGTTATTTGTACTATATCACCATCAATAATAAATCTCGAGGAGTCGAGTAATACTCTCAAGTTTGCCTCGCGAGTCAAGAAAGTTGTGACAAAAGCACAAACTAATGAGGTTAGTCATTCGCCAGTCCAGTAGGAAAATTTCATGTGTTCGACTAAAATTCATTTTTCCTTGATGAACCACTAGGTGTTGGATGACAAAGCTTTGATTCAAAAATATCGCATGGAAATTGAAGAACTCAAAGTGAAACTTGAGAGAACAAATAGTTCTAACGAACAAGAACTATCTAAAAAGTTGGAAATTGAAATGGCCAAGGTATTTATAATTTTATATGCGAACTTTGTAATTTGCATCAAGCATTAAATCATTTCTTTTTATTAGCACGAAGAGGAAATGCTGGAAGCACAATTGATCCGAACAGCATTGAAAGAAAGGATCGATCACCTTACCAAATTGATCTTGACAAACACATCTTTTAACGGTGCACCTTCGCCAGCTCAGTCAAAAAGGCAAATGGGCTTTAATGGTTCATTCGAGCCGGTAATTCTTGGTTCATGTTTTTTTATTCACTTTCTCTTATTCAGTTTATTAACATTATATGGTATATATAGGCCAATGGATTTACTGAAATCGAGGCTAAACTAGATGAAAAGGACATGAAAATTAATCAGCTCTTGTTGGAACTTAAGAAAAAGGATGAACTGGTCGAACAATTAACAGCACAGTTGAGTGCTGTCATATTTAACAATACCAAGCAAAATGAGAATGAATTGATATCTAAACTCCAGGAACAGAACGAAGAGCTACAGGCATTGCGTGATGCCAACAAGAGGTTGTCTGTCACTGTTGAACAACAAAAAAAGAAACTTCAAACTCTCGAAAACAATTAAGAAGCATCCAATCCACTCTTATTCGATTTTTTTCATATATGCTAAATGCAATAATATGTAATTATATGATTGCGGAGTTTCATTATGGGATAACTTCATTAGCCAATAGAATATTTATTTAAACATTAGACTTTCTTTATATACAAGATAGATTATAGTTAATATTCAACTCAATTGTAACATTTTCAATATAACCAATACATAACATAGTTATATTTATGATAATAAAATAATTAAAAGGTAACTTTTAATCAACATAAAAAATACAATAATTTATAATAAAGGATTAAAGCAAAAAACGAGTTTTTTAGAAAATGTCTGGGTTAAGCTAAAATTGAATGAAACAACGATTTTTTTCACTCAAAACTCGTCATGCAACATTTTGTATACCTAATGAGAAAAAATCAAGAAATTGTTTATATTGATTTAACTAAAATAAAATTTTATCAAGTATATTTATCGAAAATAAAAATTTTATTTTTATTAAACTAGTAAAAGGTATCATTTGATTATTATTTTTTTCAGATTTTTAATAAATATCGAAAAATAATCGTTACATATTATCAGAAAACAACTATTTTATGTATACAATTATCAGAAAAAGCAACATTTGTAAAAAATTAAAAAATTTTCATTATAAAAAAAGGGTTATAATTTTTTTCACAAATATTTTATGCATATATAATTATTAAAATTAATATTTTTATTTTTAATTACATAAATTTTTGTCAATATACGTATACACTTTGTTTTTTTAATTCAAAATTTGAATTTTTATATGCATATTATAAAAATTGTGACACAACAAATTTTAATATTGCAAGTCAACTAAATCATAAGTAAAGCTATTGAAAATTTTGAAAATGATTGAAATTTCCGAAATTCAACATAATTATATTAATACTGTATATACACATTTACTAGAAATAATAGATTTTTTTATTAAATAAATTTTTTTTTTACAATAAAATATTTATTTTTAAAAATCATTATTTATCTTATTGTATATCAATCTAAAAAATTGCAAATATCAAATTATTAAAGAATTGATAATGTTATAAAAAAACTATTTTTTGTTTTTTTAGTATTGAAATAAGACTTATTTCTTAATCTTTATTAAAAGAATAATAAATAATTATAGAGTTAATATTAAAATATAAAGATATAAAGATACAAAATAATTGAGCTGATATTTTTTATCATAATTTAATAAATAAATATTTAATTAAAATAAAATTTTTTTTAATTAAAAAAAAAAACTCTTTTCACTTTCTTTTCTACATTTGCAAATTTTTTTTTTTTAGAAAATTTTTGAGCTGTTTATTTTTTTTGTTCTTTTCTCCTCTTATTCTTTTTCTCCTTTCTACAAACTTCTTTTTATATATTCTTCTTCTCTTCCTTCTCTTTTTTTTCTTCCCTGCCAAAGTGAGGTTTTTTCTTCTTTTTAAAAATTTTTTTTCTCTAAACCTCTTTTTCTCTTCAATATATTACTTTTTATTTCATCATTTCTTTAAACAATAGATTTTTTTTTTTTAAGAATCATATCCCTTAAATCATAGAGCATTTTTCTTATAATATTTAAAATTTTTTAACTAAAAAGTTGCTTTTCATTTATTTTTTTAAATAATAAAAATATTTTTTAAAAAATTTATATAGTATTAGTTTTAATTATATACTATTTATTAATAGTATTAGTTTTAATTATATACTATCTATTGATAATATTAGTTTTAATTACTATATATACTATCTATTGATAATATTTATTTTTTATTTATTTAATAAAAATTTAAATTTAATTATAAGCAAAATTTTTAATTTTTAAAAAATTTTTTATATTAAAAAAACTCTTACCCATTCACTACTGATTTTTTGAAAATTTCCTTTTTAGAAATCTTCTTTCAAGAAGTGTCTTCCTCTCTTTATCCTTTAAAACAAATAAACTTTAAACCTAAAGGATATAAAGACTTTAAGAAATACTATTGCATTGGGATAAAACCTCCAGTTAAAACTTAAGCAAGTTGGGAGTCTTCCTTAGCTCTTGATTGCATGGAAAAAGGCCTGTGGCAACCTTTCTTCACAATTTTTGTCTTTAAGTACCTTCTCTTTTATGACCATAATAATTGCTTTTCCTTTTACCTTTCTTTCTCTATAATACAAATTTAATTTTTACAACACATTTAAATAAAGTTACTGGGTTTAATGTTTGTCTTTGAAAATTTTATTATCTTTCCTCTCTATTTAAAAAACAATACCACACATCACTTCTTTATTATCCTACAATTTTTTCAAATCTACTCAAAAAATCACAATCAGTTTCACCCTATCCAAAGATCTACACTCAACAAACAATCAATAAAATATCTTTACTCCTTAACAATAACATCAAACCTGTTCAAACTCGTCTACAACCAGTTCTTCAATAAAATTCTCACATGTAACAACAACAATAACAATAACAATAACAACAATAATAACAACAAATGATTAACTGATAACCTACTGGATTGAAAGAATGTGTGACTTGTTCCTTGCATAGGTTCCAGTAATCTTTACTTAATACATATCCAAATAATACAACAATTAACTGGAGCTGGGGTCTAGTTACCCAACTCACATATATTCCAATTACAACACTCCTTTATCAACCACATAACTAACTTATATTATCTTAATAATGGAGTTGTGTTCCATAAGCAGCAATGCTACTGTTAAAAAAAAAAGGCAACTAAAGCCTAACCAATATGAATAAAAATAAAGTACTTTTATTGCAAGTGGAAATGAAATACCAGGGAGTTGCACCCCATAATCTGGCAGCTTATGCCAATGCTCCTCTATTGCTGCTGAAGTCATATTCAGCTATCAAAAAGAAAGCAGTAACCTAGGTAGACACATTTGGTTTGTGCCCTGCAGAATGGATTATTGATTTAAAGATAATATGACTTCAAACCTCAACACACATTATCTCTATACAACTTTCCATTCAAAATATATTTAACTATATATGGTCTTGGAAAAAGAATAGTCCCAACCTTAAACTTTACATATATAGTAACTTCATATTCACACATTCTATCTTTCAAATCCCATACCTATATATTCTTTTACCTAAGGTAATTTTGTCCCTTTTTTTTTCTTTAATATATTAATATTGTAGATAGTTTCTTTCTTATTTTTCCCTGCTCTTGGGTTTTTTATTTAGAAATATATCTATTACAATAGGTGGTAAACTAATATGTACTTAGTTTAACTTCGTTCATATATCTTATATCTTAAAATTAACTATGTAATAATAATTAAAATATTAATAAAAATCATAAAACACCTCTCACCTTAAAAAAAAAAAAAAAATTTTTT